CTAACTAGGAGGGTGCTTACACATGCAGTGTGAAAAGGGGACATATTTTAATTCACTTGAGCCCTCAGGCCTTTTTCTCCTCAATTACCCTCTTGTGTTCCAGAGCTTTTTTTTTCCATTTTGGGGGGATGTCTCAGTTCCACACATTGCACTAGGCCAGGGGGGAAGGGGTGGGCAAAACTGTGGCCCTCCAGCTGTTGTGGAACTACATTTCCCATGAGGCATTGCAACATTACAAAACGGACAGTTACAGCTAGGCATTATTATTATTATTATTACTACGAGTTTATATAGCGCCAAAGGGTTTGCTCAGCGCTGTACAATAGGGTGGGGGACAATACATGGCACAGTACAACAAAGACAGACAGCGTACGAGGGGTAAGAGGGCCCTACTCTTACGATGCTTACAATCTCAGGGAGGGAGGGGGTAAAGGTACAGTAGGAAGTGGCTGAGGGGGATGAGATAGTTTTTAGTGGTAGGAGGAATGAGGGAGGATGGCCGTTAGGTGAGGGTGGGGTAGGCTTCCCTGAAGAGATGGGTTTTGAGGGAGCGCCTGAATGTGAATAGAGAAGGCGACAGTCTGATCGGATTGGGCAGTGAGTTCCAGAGGATGGGGGAGGACCTGGAGAAGTCCTGCAGTCGTGCATGGGAGGAGGAGGACCAGGGGAGCAGGATAGAAGGAGGTCCTGTGAGGAGCGAAGGGTACGGGCTAGGGTGGTACCTTGGTGATCAGGTTGGTGAGGTAGTCAGGGGCAGTGTTGTGAACGGCTTTGTAGGTCAGGGTAAGGAGTTTAAATTTGATGCGTTGGGCAATCGGGAGCCAGTGGAGGGAGAGGCAGGAGAGGGGGGGTGGCAGAGGTGGAGCGGGTGGTGAGGTCAGGATGAGTCTGGCAGCTGAGTTCAGGATGGTCTGGAGCGGGGTAGAGCCTGCACTTGGGTAGGCCAGTGAGGAGGGAGTTGCAGTAGTCAAGGCTCGTGAGAGATGATGAGGGAGTGTACTAGAAGTTTGGTGGTGTCTGGGGTGAGGAAGGAGCGGATCTTGGCAATGTTGCGAAGATGGAGCCTGCATGTGTTTGTGAGTGATTTGACATGCGGTTGGAGGGAGAGGGTTCGCGTCAAGAATGACGCCAAGGACTTTGGCTTGCGGGGGCGGAAGTGATAGTGGAGTTGTTGGTGATGATGGATAGGATGGGGGTGGGGGTGTTGTGGCAGGGGGAAAGACGAGAAGCTCGGTTTTTTTGGAGAGGTTAATCTTGAGGAAAGTTTGTAGCGACATCCAGTCTGAGATGTCATTTAGGAGGTGAGTGATGCGGGCGGAGATAGTGGGGGTTGAGGTGAGGGGTGGGAGAGGTAGATTTGGGTGTCGTCAGCATAGAGGTGATAGTTGAAAGCCGTTTGAGATTGTATGAGTTTGCCCAGGGAGGAGGTGTAGATGGAGAAGAAGAAGGGGTCCAAGGACAGACTGCCTTGGGGGCACCCTGAACAGAGAGGGGGCCGGGAGGGGGATCGGTGGCAACCTTTGTAGGTGACACTGATGGAACTTGTATGCCATTGTAGGCATGATGGAACTTGTAGTTCTGCAACAGCTGGAGAACCGCAGTTTTCTTGCCCACCCCCTGTACTAGGGCTCTCTAGTCTAATCATAACATGGTAGGAAGTTTAGATACATATAATATGTTCTGTTTCAAATTACACTTTATGAATTAAAATACCTCGTTAGACCCCGTTCGTTTGGACAGTAAAGTCACAGCTGCAGACTTGGCACCATCCACAGCAGCATAACTCTTCAAGGGAGACACAGACATTGACTGCAATGCATTTTTTACTTCAGCTAACTGCAGTGCCTTGTTAGACATACAATGGGCATAATTTCAGTAAATCTTATCACTATGAGTTTAGTCAGTCACATGACACATATCGCCATGCAATACTGAAAATGTCAATTCACTATTGCTAGTATGTGGTATTTACCAAAAATAGCAAATACACTCAGTAAATACCACAGTAAAACGATCTTAAAGTCAATTTACAAATGGAAATAAATAATTAAATGCAGCGGTAATTAAGTAGTGGTCCAGGCATGCAGTATGTACTGGCATTGGTCAGTCAAGGGTGTGTAAGGACAATGGGTTGGCCACGGAGTCCCTTAACAGTCATCAGCTGACTGCAAAACCGGAGGTCCCCTCATACTTTCGGCAGCCCTCTACAAATCTGCATTTCTTATCTACACCTCCTCCCTCCACGCCGCCAAGAGGCCCGCCCTACTTTGTTACTTAATAAACACCCTCTCCTCACTGCCCCGCCGACCTCTTCTCCACTTCAACTCCCTGCTCTCCCCCCCCCTCCTCCACTCAGTACCTCTCTCACCGCCCACGAAATTGCCACAACCATTTCCACAACAAGATTGACGCTTTATCCGTAAGGACATCTGTCAACTTGCAATCTACCTCCCCACCTAGCCTCCTCGCCCCGTCACCCTTCATCTCCTACCCCCTCCTCTGCCCTCACAACCGCACTGCCCCCTCCTCCTCATCCCAATGCCCCGCCCCCACATAACCCCCCCCGCACTGCACTCCCTTCAGCAACTGTCATCTCTGAGGGAAGTACAACCAAAAACTTTTGTCCTCTCAAAAGCCCGCCTCACTACCTGCCCCCTGGACCCTATCCACTTCTCTCAACTCCTCCGGTCACCCCCCTCTTCCCTCATCATCCCGCTCCCTCAACCCACATCTTCAATCTCTCCCTCTCTACTGGCGTATTCCCCTCCCCCCTAAAGCACGGCGCATATCACCCCCATCCTCAAAAAGCCCTCCCTGGATCCGCGGACCCCACAACCTCAGACCCATCTCCCTGCTGCCACTCACCTCCACAAGCTCCTTGAACGCTTAGTAATACGATCGGCCTAAGCTCCCACCTTACTGACAATAACCTCCTTGACCCTCTACAGTCCGGCTTCCGTCCCCTACACTCCACTGAAATAAATGCCCTCCTCAAAATCACTAACGACCTACTCAAAATTATGCCAAAAGCCAAGGGCGGAACTATCTGTCCTCCTTCTCCTGGACCTCTCTGCGGCCTTCGACACAGTTGACCACCCACCTCCTTCTTAATAAACTACTCTCCCTTGGCATCGGAGATGCTGCTCTCTCCTGGTTCCTCTATCCTACCTATCCCGACGCTCCCTCTCAGTGTCACACTACAATGGTGCCACCTCCCCCTCCCTCCCCCTCTCTGTTGTGGGTCCCCAAGGCTCTGTCCTTGGACCCCTTCTCTTCTCCATCTACACCTCCTCCCTGGGCCAAACTCATACAATCTCACGGCTTCAACTATCACCTCTATGCTGACGACAACCCAAATACTCTACTCTCCACCCCTCACCTCACCCCCACTAATCTCCGCCCGCATCACTCACCTCCTAAATGACATCTCAGACTGGATTGTCGCTACATTTCCTCAAGATTAACCTCTCCAAATACCGAGCTTCTCGTCTTTCCCCCCTGCCCACACCCCCCCCCATCCTATCCATCATCACCAACAAACTCCACTATAACTTCCGCCCCAAGCCAAAGTCTCCTTGGCGTCATTCTTGACGCGAACCTCAATCCCTCCAACCGCATGTCAAATCACTCACAAACACTATGCAGGCTCCATCTTCGCAACATTGCCAAGATCCGCTCCTTCCTCACCCCAGACACCACCAAACTTCTAGTACACTCCCTCATCATCTCACGCTTGACTACTGCATCACTCCCTCCTCACTGGCTACCCAAGTGCAGGCTCTCCCCGCTCCAGACCATCCTGAACTCAGCTGCCAGACTCATCCACCTCACCACCCCACTCACCTCTGCCACCCCCCTCTGCCTCTCCCTCCACTGGCTCCCGATTGCCCAACGCATCAAATTTAAACTCCTTAAACCCTGACCTACAAAGCCGTTCACAACACTGCCCTGACTACCTCACCAACCTGATCACCAGGTACACCCACCCTACCCGTACCCTTCGTCCTCACAGGACCTCCTTCTATCCTGCTCCCTGGTCTCCTCCTCCCATGCACGACTGCAGGACTTCTCCAGGTCCTCCCCATCCTCTGGAAACTCACTGCCCCCAATCCATCAGACTGTCGCCTTCTCTATTCACATTCAGGCGCTCCCTCAAAAACCATCTCTTCAGGGAAGGCCTACCCCACCTCACCTAACGGCCATCCTCCCTCATTCCTCCTACCACTTCATCCCCCTCAGCCACTTCCTACTGTACCTTTACCCCCCTCCTCCTAGATTGTAAGCTCGTAAGAGTAGGGCCCCTCTTACCCCTCGTACGCTGTCTGTCTTTGTTGTACTGTGCCATGTATTGTCCCCCCCTATTGTACAGCGCTGAGCAAACCCTTTGGCGCTATATAAACTCGTCAGCGGGGGTTCCATATGGGGTGAACAGAATTATGGTATGGGGTATGGTGGTGATCGGGACGCTGGTATGGGGGTATGGCGGTCATCAGGATACTGGTATGGCGTATGGTGTGATCAGGATGCTAGTAAGGGGTATGAGGTGATCAGAAAACTGGTATGAAGTATGTTGGTAATCAGGACGCTGGTATGGGGTATGGCGGTGATCAGGACGCTGGTATGGCATATGGCGGTGATTAGAGTGTTAGTATGGGGTATGGCATATGGCGGTGATCAGGATGCTGGTATGGGGTATGGCGGTGATCAGGATGCTGATATGGGGTATGGCGGTGATCAGGATGCTGGTATGGGGTATGGTGGTGATCATGGCGCTGGTATGGGGTATGGTGGTGATCATGGCGCTGGTATGGGGTATGGTGGTGATCATGGCGCTGGTATGGGGTATGGTGGTGATCATGGCGCTGGTATGGGGTATGGCGGTGATCAGAATGCTGGTATGGGGGTATGGCGGTGATCAGGATGCTGGTATGGGGTATGGCGGTGATCAGGACGCTGGTATGGGGTATGACGGTGATCAGGATGCTGGTTTGGGGGTATGGTGGTGATCAGGATGCTGGTATGAGGTATGGCGGTGATCAGGGTGTTGGTATGGGGTATGGCGGTGATCAAGATGCTGGTATGGGGTATGGCGGTGATCAGGACGGTGGTATGGGGGTATGGCGGTGATCAGGACGCTGGTATGGGGTATGGCAGTGATCAGGATGCTGGTACGGGGTATGGCGGTGATCAGGATGCTGGTATGGGGTATGGCACTGATCAAGACGCTGGTATGGTATAGGCAGTGATTAGGGCGTTAGTATGGGGTATGGCATATGGCGGTGATCAGGATGCTGGTATGGCATATGGCAGTGATTAGGGTGTTGGTATGGCAAATGGTGGTGATCAGGACGCTGGTATGGCAAATGGTGGTGATCAGGATGCTGGTATGGTATATGGCAGTGATTAGGGTGTTGGTATAGGATATGGCATATAAAGGTGATCAGGATGCTGGTATGACATATGGCAGTGATTAGGGTGTTGGTATGGGGGTGATCTGGCTGCCTTCAGTCCTTACACTTGACTGGCTCTTTCCCTGCTCCACTGGCTGTCCTCTCTCAGGAGATATTGAGGCTGAGAGATCTCCTTCTCTCTATCTTCCACCCAACACTGACTGATCCTGCTGATCAAGCCCAATCATATTTAAGGGCTGTCCTGGCCCCGTGCCAAACCTCCTGCTTGGGGATTGGCCAAGGTCCCCCACGTATGCAGGCAAGCTCCTCCTCACCCCCCCACCAACTGACTTCTGGAAACTTCTCCCGCTCCTAATCCAGGGGAGGTATCAGAGAACTGACCTGCAGAGCCCTCAGCCCTGACCTAAAATAATCTGACTGACTCACACCCAGGCTCATAACAAGCCTCTATCTAAATACTAACTCCTCCCAGATGAACCTGAAGAACGTTACACAAGCATCAAACATCACCCCAAGATTTTTCAATTGAGACTGAAGCTCAAGTACAGTGCCATTGAAAAATAGGCTACCAAGACTGGCCTTACATAATTGATGGGGGGGAGGGGTTGCCAATAAGAGGTCATGTACACTGCAGCTGCTAGAGTGATGTTTATTAAAAAATTTAAAAAAATTTTCAGTGCATTCTGCGCATTTGGGAGGGTCTCCTGAGGTTATATTTTAACCACCTCCCATCCGGCCGTTATATATAAAAAGACCAGACGGTGGCAGTGCAGGGGCGGGTGGGTGTTCATAAATGGCTTTCCCAGCCCCCTGCTTGTGCACGCTCCCTGGGAGCACGCAGCACCTCCGGACACAGTGAAACACTGATCGTCGGACGGGACCTCTGTGCGAGGTCCCAATCATGTGATCACTGATTAGCCAATCAGTGATCACATGCAGAATAGTAAGCAAGATGTCACTTCTGACATCATTACTTACCATGTGTGAAATCTGTGAATGATCACAGAGGTCACATGGTACAGGGCTATTCACAACAGCCTTGTACCATGTGACAAGCTGTGGCCAATCACATCTCACACAGTAGTTCTCAATGGCTGCAAGAATGCAGCCAGAGAGAAGGAGAAATTATTGTTTTTACAGCCTTTATGGGTGTAAAAGCAATCAGTGTAAAAGAAAAATAAATCTTCATTACCCCCCACAAAAAAATCCCAGTGGTGAATAAATACTACCAACATAAAGCGTTATCTGTCTCAAAAAAAAGTGCTAAAAAATTAATCTGGGTACAGTGTTGCATGACCGTGTAATTGTCATTCAAAGTGTGACAGCGCTGAAAATTGCCCTGTACAGGAAGGGGTGAAAGTGTCCGGACTGGAAGGGGGTGAAAGTGTCCGGACTGGAAGGGGGGGAAAGTGTCCGGACTGGAAGGGGGTTTAAGTGTCCGGGCTGGAAGGGGGGAAAGTGTCCGGACTGGAAGGGGGGGAAGTGTCCAGACTGGAAGGGGGTAAAAGTGTCCGGACAGGAAGGGGGGGGAAAGTGTCCGGACTGGAAGGGCGGGAAAGTGTCCAGACTGGAAGGGGGGAAAGTGGGGAAAGGGGGGAAAGTGTCCGGACTCCGACTGGAAGGGGGGGGTGACAGTGTCCGGACTGGAAGGGGGGAAAGTGTCCGGACTGGAAGGGGGTGAAAGTGTCCGGACTGGAAGGGGGGGAAAGTGTCCGGACTGGAAGGGGGGAAAGTGTCCGGACTGGAAGGGGGGGAAAGTGTCTGGACTGGAAGGGGGTGAAAGTGTCTGGACAGGAAGTGGGGGAAAGTGTGCGGACTGGAAGGGGGGTGACAGTGTCCGGACTGGAAGGGGGGGGAAGTGTCCGGACTGGAAGGGGGGGGTGACAGTGTCCGGACTGGAAGGGGGGGGGGGGGGAGGGTTCCGGACAGGAAGGGGGTGACAGTGTCCGGACTGGAAGGGGGGGAAGTGTCCGGACTGGAAGGGGGGGGAAGTGTCCGGACTGGAAGGGGGGTGACAGTGTCCGGACTGGAAGGGGGGGGGAAGTGTCCGGACAGGAAGGGGGGTGACAGTGTCTGGACTGGAAGGGGGGGGAAGTGTCCGGACTGGAAGGGGGTGAAAGTGTCTGGACAGGAAGTGGTTAAAAATGCTTCTAAATGCAGATAAATACAGCTAAACTAACGTTTGTAACCTACGTTTTCTAGCAGTCAGTTTCCAGTGGTCAGAAAGGTTTCTCAAATGCCCCGTCTACATGAGCCCTAAGCATGATTTCGGTCTTGTCACAGTTTAATTGAAGGAAATTGTGTGCCGTCCAAGTTTTATATATCACAAATATAATTTTTTTTTTAGATCACAAAATTCAGTCTAAATTTGCAAAATAAATTTTTTAAACACATAACGCTTCGCATGACCTTCAGAGCATAGCCAGCAGGCTTAGAAGGACCAATAAGGGGGCTTTTGGAAGGGCTGACTCTCAAACTATAAAAAGAGAGGATTCAGAGCCTAATGCAGGCCATACACGGGTCGGATTCTGAATTAATTTTCTTCAAAAAATCGGAAATTTTGTGGGTTTGTAATGCGATGGCTCCACCATTGATTTTGAAATTCAACCCACTAAGCCTTTAATTTTACCTCATGTTGCTACAGAAAAGAATATTCGTGACCAAGAATTGACTTTTCTTTCCAGGTCACGGCTCACGCTCCTTTCTTTTTCAATTACATTTCCCGCACGATTCTCCGTCATTGATTAGAAATTTGTTCGTATTTCACAAAATTTCCAACATGTCCGATCACTCAAATTCGATGGTTGCTCGAATATCGGCCATTGCTGTGGCCCACTAAGGCTAGGTTCACATCTGTGAGGGAGGATCCACACACATCCGCACCACCCAACCAGAGGAATGCGGACCCGCGGGCAGGTGCCATTGATTCTAATGGCACGCCGCCTGCACTGGAAATCGCAAGCATACTGGGAACTGAGGTTCCTGTGCGGGCTGCATTTTCAGAAGTGCAGGGACTTCTTCCCTGGGTATCCCGGGGCACGGGAGTACATTCAAATGAATAAGCTATCGTGCCCACGCAAAACGCGGACCGCAGGAACGCAGAGATGTGAACCTAGCCTTATGGTGTGAAATTCCAAGGAAAATTCTTAGAAAAGATTTTCAAAAGAAAATTATTTCAAAATTCGACCCATGTATGGCCTGCTTTAGGGGTTGCAGTCACACGCCCAGAGTTTGGTCAATGTGGTGAAATTGTACTTTTCAAAAACTGCTCAATCACACGCAAGGAAAAAAACAGCATTTTTGCTTGCATGTGATTGGATGAGGGAAGGCCACAGATCACCTCATTTATTAAGTTCTGGGGATAATCCCCTTGCAGAGTGAACAGTCTATATTATTATTATTATTATTATTATACAGGATTTATGGCACCAATAGTTTACTCTCTGGCTTTACAATATAACGGGAGACAATACAGCAACAATACAGTTCAATACAAGAGGGGTTGGAGGGCCTGATCCTGGGAGCTTACACTCTAAGAGGGAGGGGCTAGTGGTACAAAAGGTAGTAACTGTGGGGGATGGACTGGTAGGAGGAAGAGAAGATTCCATTATTAGCTGAGGGCAGGATAGGCTTCCCTGAAGAGATCAGTTTTCAGAGATCGCCTAAAATTGGCAGAGTAGGCGATAGTCTGATAGATTGGGGTAGAGAGTTCCAGAGGATGGAGGAGGCTCTGGAGAAGTCCTGGAGATGGGAATGGGAGGAGGAGACAAGGGAGCTAGAGAGGAGGAGGTTGTGGGAGGAGTGGAGAGGTTGGTTTGGGTGATATGTGGAGACAAGATTGATGTAATTGGGGGTGGAGTTATAGATGGCTTTACATGTTATTGTTAATGTTTTGAATTTTATTTGTTGGGCAATGGGAAGCCAGTGGAGGGATTGGCAGAGAGAGGGGTGGAGGACACTGAGTGGAGGACAGTGGAGGGATTGGCAGAGAGGGGTGGAGGACACTGAATGGAAGAGAGTTGAGGGATTGGCAGAGAGGAGTGGAGGACACTGAATGGAGGCCAGTGAAGGGATTGGCAGAGAGGGGTGGAGGACACTGAGTGGAGGACAGTGGAGGGATTGGCAGAGAGGGGTGGAGGACACTGAATGGAAGAGAGTTGAGGGATTGGCAGAGAGGAGTGGAGGACACTGAATGGAGGCCAGTGAAGGGATTGACAGAGAGGGGTGGAGGACACTGAATGGAGGACAGTGGAAGGATTGGCAGAGAGGGGTGGAGGACACTGAATGGAAGAGAGTTGAGGGATTGGCAGAGAGGAGTGGAGGACACTGAATGGAGGCCAGTGAAGGGATTGGCAGAGAGGGGTGGAGGACACTGAGTGGAGGCCAGTGGAGGGATTGGCAGAGAGGGGTGGAGGAGGACACTGAGTGGAGGCCAGTGGAGGGATTGGCAGAGTGGGGTGGAGGACACTGAGTGGAGGCCAGTGGAGGGATTGGCATAGAGGGGTGGAGAACACTGAATGGAGGCCACTGGAAAGATTGGCAGAGTGGGGTGGAGGACACTGAGTGGAGGCCAGTGGAAGGATTGGCAGAGAGGGGTGGAGGACACTGAATGGAATAGAGTTGAGGGATTGGCAGAGAGGGAGTGGAGGACACTGAATGGAAGAGAGTGGAGGATTGGCATAGAGGCAGAGAGGAGTGGAGGACACTGAATGGAGGCTAGTGAAGGGAATGAAAGAGAGGGATGGAGAACACTGAATGGAGGCCACTGGAAAGATTGGCAGAGTGGGGTGGAGGACACTGAGTGGAGGGATTGGCAGAGAGGGGTGGCAGATACAGAGCGGTTAGTAAGGTGGATGAGTCTGGCAGCAGCGTTCATGGTAGACTGAATGCCTATCTATATAGTCTATATGCCTTTAGTAAATCGGTCTTGTAGCGTTGGTGTATTGAAGCTGCTGCAGGGAGAGGATACGGAAAGCTGACAAACTGCATAGGGAGAGAAAAGGAGTCCATTAGAAAACCGTACTTTACTTTTCTGAACTGTGGAAGAACTTTAGGCATAATCAGGTCCCGTCTAAAATATATTCCCTTCAGTTTCCCCAAGCTCGGTGTAATGAGCCGTGTCCTCCGGGATCCAGGAAAATTCAACCTGAAGGATTGTATGTCTGCTGCTATCGCTGTGTGCCGTGCGCTGCTGGGGAGATCTCCAATATTACAGGTAACAAATTCCAACACATATGTGTTCAACCGCTAAAATATTATTTGCGTGTTAGCCTATTACTGTCATTCTAACACAGTTTTTAGTATTTTTTAAACCTTCCATTAAAGTGTAGATATAGGAAGAGGTACCCCGACCGCCGCACACCTCGCCCAGCCCTAGTGGTCAGCAGGTAAAAGCAGCCTAAGCTCGATGCATCCAAGTCATGCCCCTACGTGTTTTGATCTGCCCAAGTGCTTAATCACAGAGGTGGTGGGGGTGGGGCAAAACATGTAGGGGGCATGGCTTGGATGAATTGAGGCTGCTTTTACCTGCTGACCACTTGGGCTGGGTGAGGTGTGCAGCAGTTGGGGTGTCTCTTCCTATTTCTACAGCATGCGTGTCTGGATGAACCTTTCCCCAGACTGCACCCTCACTAGTCAGTGGCATCCAAATCATGAGATCAGGGGCGGACTAACAACTCATGGGGCCCCCGGGCAATAGGGGATCATGGGGTCCCTGTGTCCTTGCCCAAACTCAAAAAAGCCTATGAAAAAGGTACCAGGGGCATCTCATGGGGCCCCCTACTGAACCTGGGAACTTGGGCAGTGCCCGAGTTTCCAAATGGTCAGTCCGCCCCTGCATGAGATCTTGTTAATCTGAGCGGGGGCCACTAAGCATTTATTGTGGGCTTCCATTAAAATGGTTGTAAACCTCAGACATGAAATATGACCAAAGCACATCCCTCTATAGTGTGTACTTGTCTCAATTAAGAACACTAAGTGTAATTTCTGTCTGCTGCCTCCTGTGAAGGTGGGGGTGTCCCTTCCCTCCAATCAGCTCTCAGAGCTCTCCTAACTGAGCACTGCAGTGTGTAATTTCAGGTCCCCCTGCTTTTTGAAAGCTCAGACAAGCTGTATACATGCTGTACTTTAACCCCTTGCCTACCAGGCACTTATACCCCCTTATTTACCAGGCCAATTTTCAGCTGTCAGCGCTGCCGCACTTTGATTGACAATTGCGCGGTCATGCAACATTGTACCCATATGAAATTTTGATCATTTTTTTCTCACAAATAGAGCTTTCTTTTGGTGGTATTTAATCGCCACTGGGCGCTTTACTTTTTGCGCTATAAATAAAAAATTGCAAAAAATTTGGAAAAAAAAAAAAAAAGTTTCTTTGTTTCTATTATAAAATTTTTCAAACAGGTAATTTTTTCTCCTTCACTGATGTGCATTGACGAGGCAGCACTGATGGGCACTGATAGGCGGCACTGATAGGCAGCACTAAAGGGCACTGATAGGCAGTACTAATGAGGTGGCACGGATAGGCGGCACTGATAGACAGCACTAATGAGGTGTCACGGATAGGCGGCACTGATAGACGGCACTAATGAGGTGTCACGGATAGGCGGCACTAATATGCAGCACTGATAGGCAGCACTGATAGGTGACACTGATGATGGGTACTGATAGACGCCACTGACTGGCATCACTGCTGGGCACTGACTGGCGGCACTGACTGGCACAACCGCTGGGCACTGACTGGTGGCACTGACTGGCAGCACTGCTGGGCTGCATTGGTGGGTGGCACTGGTGGGCAGCACTGGTGGGTGGGCACAGGTGGGTGGCACTGGTGGGCACAGGTGGGTGGGCACAGGTGGGTGGCACTGCTGGGCACAGGTAGGTGGCACTTCTGGGCACAGGTGTGTGACACTGCAGAGTGGCACAGGTGGGTGCACTGCTGGGCACAGGTGGGTGATCTGCTGGGCACAGGTGGGCGGAGCTAGTGGGTGCACTGCTGGGCACAGGTGGGCAGAACTTGCGGGTGTCACTGCTGGGCACCGATCATCAGGGCACTGATCATCAGTGCCCTGATGAACGGTGCTGATCCCCGCTCTGACAACTGCCGGTTTTCGGCAGTACTTTCCTCATGATCTGACAGCGTGAGGAAAGTGCAGCCGAGAACCGGCACTTGCATTTCCCTGTGATCAGCGTGTCATTGGACACCGCTGATCACGTGGTAAAAGGCCGCTGTGATTGGCCTTTTACCACATCACGTGATCAGCTGTGTCCGTAGGACACAGCGATCACGGAGATCGCCGGGAGAGGAGAGCGCAGGAGAGCGCGTTCTGGGAGGACGTCATATGACGTCCACTCAGAACTGGCCGGCCGCGGTGCAGCCGTCATTCGGCTATCTGCGGTCGGCAACTAGTTAAATGGATGTAAAGAAGAGAAGATAAACAGTACAACTTATGTAGGAGGATTTGTTTCATCTCTCTGTATCAGCTAAGGTCAGACACTTCATTGGGTATACATAAGGGTTTACAACCACTTTAAAGAATAGTGACCCTGACAATGTTCCCTGTTCAGGAACTTCCTGTTGCAGGGTGACAACTGTCTCAGTTGTGCTCCTGCTTTGCCACTCTGCCACATGCAATGTGAAGACTACAAGAGGAGACACCAACCATAGCTCTCATCTTAAAGCCGGTTCAGAACAACATTGCGTAGGAGCAGTAGCAGGATGACCTTGTCCCGCCACTGGTCCAACATAACCAAATTAACCTCAAACAATAAATTCATGACCTCAAATAGACTCGAGACCATAAGAAGCGGCTTCTAAATGGAACACACCCAAGGCTGGGATAAGTGGTGGGCAAAAGTGGCCCTAGGTGCAGTGGGGATTTGGGGGATTGTGCTAGAAGGGGTGATTTGGAGGGGGATTTTTACTAAGAGGGTGGATTTCTGTAAGGAAGGGGGATATTGGGGGGGATTTGTGCTAGTAGGGATGTTTGGATGGATTAATACAATCGTTGTGTTCCTACATTGGGACGGGAACATCTCATCCCACTCACGAAACAAAATCGAGTTGTGCTGAGCGCTTCTCAGCCATTCATGGAAATCATTGTATTCTATGAACACAAAGCTTGCTATGATTTGCTGAGGTGGAGACTGTGACTTCATTTGCTCACCTCTTTGCCTCAACCAATCAGTGGAAGCTTTGCATTCATTCATAGAATACAAAGCTTTCCATAAATGGTGGGCAGCACTATGCCCGACTCTATTTTGTTTCAGGAGTGGGATGGGATGTTCCCATCTCAATGTCAGTTAGTTTGGGCCAGCTTGGCCCATACCTGTAAGTGGGGTGCAGCATGGTGCGATGGCAATAACACACAGTCAAGGTGCGATGAAAGAACTTAAGTGAAGTAATACAAAGACAGTTCACAAATAACCCAGTGGGAAGGCCAGCTGTGACGTTCCTGATTGGAGACTGAAATGATGAGATCGGCCTCACTTGTGTCACTAGCCCTGACCCCACTGGATTTGGAACAGAGGGGAGTCTAGGACCAGGATGTTGTTTGCAGCTCTTGCAGTTGGTGACTTTGGAAGACTGATGAACCTCCGATTCAGGCACAGTAGTGATATGCACAGCTGGTATGGTAGGTCACCAGGTGTGCACCAGAGCAAGGCAGGAAGCTGGGATAGGAGACAGGAGCAATGTCATAGGAATAGCCGGGGTCATCAACGGGCAGACAGCGAGGTACCAAATCAGAAGCAAGCCAAAATCAGGAGCAGAGCCGAAGTCAGGAACAAGTATCAAGCAGGAGAGTAATCAGAGTCAGGTCAGGAACAAGCCAGGTCAGCAACAAAGAAATCACACACGAATGAGCAGGAAACAGGGAACAGCTGAAGACCAGTCAGCACTTAGCACAGGCAGAGGCACCTTTTAAATAGTCCATCTGGCACCAATCTTCACCATGTGTGTGCACGTGTGTGTGCGCGATCGTGCATTTCTGTGTGCATTCGCATTTCTATTCGCCAATCATCTCACCGGGATTCCCTTACACCAGCTGGGAACATAGATTCAACCAAACTCATACATTCAACCGAACTGACAGCACCTGTTGAGAGGGGCAGGATGTGGCCTGGCTGTCTTGTGCCCAAGTGGGAAGATGTCCAGAGAAGTTGTAAGCCCTAAGCTTTCCCCTCTCATCAGGAACCTTTCCCTGACACTAGTTCTGTGCCTAACAGGCAGGGTACCTGTCCCTCCTCTACCCACTCAAAACATGCAGACCAAACCCAGGAGCCAAGGCCTTAAAAAAAGGCTCTGCCTGACCCAAGATAGCTGCTAGAGTTACATGGAGTGGCAGCATCAAATGGGATAGCTTCCCCAGTGACCCAGAAAACAAAAAGGGAACCATGTTCCTCTTGACTTCCTCTCCAAGTGCAGTGCCATTGAGGAAGAACACCACCTGCAGTTGAGAAAGTAGACTGCATCTGCCTATTACAAATAAAGTGGCAGTTAGGTTTTGATAAAATTCTAGTGAAAGAAAGGGGAACAGGTTATGGATGCCTAAAAATCATTATGCCTTGTGACTCAGCTGACCAGGTTACTCCATTAAATGTCATTCCTTGCTTCTGGTGGTGAACCTGGAAAGTTCTCAGCCAAAGGTTTGAGATTCACAAGCTTCTTGAATCCCAAGGATTCACTGCAGACCCCCGAACCCATTCCCTAACAAAATGCATTAGCAAACTAAGTGTCATCTAGTTAGGTGTAATATTAATTTTTAATATCCAAACTTTAATTCGGTCTTTAGTAGTTCTGAAATATATGCTGGCAGAAAATACCCTCTTAATTGGATGTGAATGTGAGGTTTTGCATTTCAGTGGTCAGATGTGAATTATTTGTGTCTGAGCTAAAGGTAATCAGCAGAGGTTTAAAGTCATGTTTTCTTTTAAAATACTCTATGTAATGTATACCATATTGTGAATTCTTATAATGAGTCTGAGAGTTTAAATTGTAGTCATAAATCATGGATTTTGACAGTTGTATGTAACATAAGAACTTCAGAAACCTTTTTCATAGTCTGCATGTCAATCATGATAATGAATTGGTGGTTTGAATAGGAACACATGTTCTAGCTAAGCTGGGAGTGACTATGGGAGTAGTTTTAGGAGCCCGCGAATTTGAAACAAAGCTTAATGGGAGGACCTAATTTCTCATGCATTTTAAGTATGCAGTTTTCAAAGAACGAGGCTCAGAAGCTTCTCAGATACACTACACTTCACTTCATTCACTCACACACAGAGACATTTTTGCACACATTCTTACTCAAAGCACGTGCTTGAACAAAGAACA